CATGTGGGTCAGGAACACGGCCTTGGCTTCGTCCCGCTCGTCCATCGCCCACCTCTCGGGGAGACGTAGGACTCGGGTTCGGGACTCGGGCTGCCTGCCGGGGCCATCATGAACATGACGAGGCCCGTTCTGAAACTTGACGCGAGCTCTCGCTGCAAGCATCCCACGAAAAATGGACCGTCAACATCCAGGACGCGCTGGTCAAAAACCGTCGGCAAACCCGAGTTCCGGCGTACTCGAGGCTTACGCTTCCCCGAACCTGCGGCCGAGCGAAACAACGGAGGAGGGCCAATTGAGACAACAACGACTCTCCAGCCCAGTCCAAATCTGTCTATAATGTTCGGGAGCGGCCAAGAGGGGGGTGTCCAAGAGGGGGGGGTGCAAATCATGACCGGCGGCATCTGCGCGGCCCAGCGGGGGGGCCAGGGACGTAATGAAATAAGAAGAGGCGCCATAAGATCTGGGGAAATAATTATCATGACCCCCGCCATGATATCCACCCCCCCCTAGTCATCCCCCCCCTCTTTTCCGCCCCCGAATAATATTCCGTCCCCGGACGCCTCCCGGGGTCCACCCTGACCCTTTCTACGAAGCGGATCCGGCCGTGCGACCAGAAGCCCCCAGGAGGCCCATAGCGCAGGGCGAAAACACCAAGGGAGGGCTGCCGTCGTCTCGACAGGCCCCCCCCGTGCGGGCGCCGCCAGCGTCTTTATTCCTCCTCCTCCTCCTCCTTCTCACCACCACCACCACCACTCGCTCCTCCGCCTCCTCCTCCTCCTCCTCCTCCTCCTCCTCCTCCTCCCCCTCCTCCCCCTCTTCCTCCTCCTCCTCCTCCTCCTCCTCCTCCTCCTCCTTCTCCTCCTCCCCACTCGCAGCCGGCATCTGCTGCGGCCCCAGGGTGCGCGCGCTTGGCCCCGGCCCACCCCTGGGCGGCGCTGCTGCCCACGCCGGCGCCGGTGTCCTGGATCGGCCGTGCCTGTCGTCGTCGCTGCCGCCACCAGAGTCCCAACTCCTTCTCCGTCCGAGGATGAGGAGGAGCAGGAGGAGGAGGGCCAGTGTGAATCCAAGACTCATCAACGATATTGGAACACACCCTCCCTCCAAGCTCCCTCTTCAAAGGCCCCATACAGGGGCTCATTCACACTGAAAGAATTGCCCCTTAGGGGGACAACCGTGTGAAAATCCTTGCAGAGTACCAACACATCATTCTCAGGTTTCCAACTCTACGAGTTAACCTGACAGGTACGCCTTGGCGATCCTGAATCGCGCTAGAACGCCGTTCCTGGGACTCCAGCACAGCGAACCAGGGTAACTGTTACGCCATGACAATCCTAAATCGCGCCAACACATTATTTTTGGTACGTTAACCATGAGAATGTATGAAACTCTTGCGATTGTTTCAAACGAATGTGCGCGGCGCTCAGGCGAGAACCACATTTTGAAAATGAATCGCCCTCAACCCGTGGAACTCTTGCATCTGTTTGACACGAATGTGCGCGACGCTGAGGCGAGAGCTTAAAACGACTGTGTGCGGAGCTGTGGGGAGAGAGCGGCATTTTGAAAACCACCCGCCCTGCATCCCGTGGAGCTCTTGCAGATGTTTAAGACGAGTGTGCGCGGCGCAAAAGGCGAGAGCTACCTTGTGAAAACGACCCACCCTCCTCCATCCGTGGAACTCTTGCGGAGTGTAACATGAATGTGCGCGGCGCTCAAGCGAGAGCCACACTTTGAAACCCACCCGCCCTCCACCTGTGAACCCTCTGGCAGTTTCTGAGCTTCAGGGCTCATCAGCGGTGAGGAGACCTCAGGCGACACGCCTGGCCCGCCCTTTCGACAGGCCTCGGGGTGCAACGGGGAGGAATTATTCATCAGGAAAAGGAACGGAACAGGAGGAGGAGGAGGAGGAGGAGGAGGAGCAAGAGGAGGAGTCATCCCTCCTGAGACGAGGGCGAAGACAAAAGCGGATGAGATAAAGAACTGGCGGGTCTGGACAATGTTCCGGCGCCGCAGACCCGAAGGTATCCCGAGATGGCCCAACGAGGCCAAGATGGCCCCAAGAACGTCCCAGGGTAACCACCCGCGGATCCAGTCCGAGACAGTCCAGGGCAGGGTGGGCCCAAAGAGTCCCCACGAGAGATCCCGAGCAAGCCCCAAGACGTCTCCACGACAGCCCTGCACCGCCCCCGCCCCACCGTGCCCCCGAGACGACAACCGGATACCCGCTGGCAGGTTCTCTGCCCCTTCGTAGGCCACTTCACTTCGCGCATCGGTCCCCGCGATACTTGCCGCGTGATCATCACCGCGACCTCGCGCCGCCTCCTGGATGAGGCCAGCTCGGCCGCGGCACGCCAAGCGTGGCCATCTTGGCGCCCGTGGGGGTCAGCCAGCACAGCCGCCTCCAACGGCCTCGTCGACAAGGACGGTGGCATCGCTGCGCCAAGTCCGCGCACGTCAGCACTGCGGCGATGGCGGACGCTGCTCTGACCCTCCGACGCGAGGG